GGAGGGCAGCTGCAGGGCAGGTGCCATCTGCTCTTTTCCTAAAACCCTGTTGGCCCCAGTGGATGGGAAAATTGCAGGTAAACACGAATTTATAGCCTGGTTCCTTGGGGAAATGAGGTTGTGCTTTGTCCTGCCTGCCCATCTGTCTCCCTTCCATTTATTCCCTGCATCAGTGTGTGCTTCCCTGCCTCAGTTTCCCCACCTGAAAAATTGTAGTTCCTGCTAGCGTTTTGAGATCTAGCAATGGAAGTGCTGTGCATGAGCTCTGGGCTCTTCTTATATTTATTATCACTACTAGCATGTGCAACCCTGTTGCTGATTGACCCTCACTGGAGCATAGGTGCCTTAGTGGGAGCTCTGTGACTATTTATTTTCCACCAACGCTCAGACTGCAGGTTGCTGTGGGATTATGTGTACCAACTCCTCTCTGACAGCCGCTATGAGCCTTACATCAAGTGGGAAGACAAGGAAGCCAAGGTTTTCCGGATCGTTAACCCCAATGGACTTGCCCAGCTCTGGGGGAACCATAAGGTAAATGCAGTTGAGAACAAATCTGTCAGTCCTGCACTTCTGCATGTTGCCTTCATGACCTGTTCCCCAGAGCTGATGGCAAAAGGATTGGTAAGGGTGAGACAGAGTGGGCGCAGGGCTACTGGGAGATGCCAACCTCCTGGTGATTAAAGAGGGAGGCTTCTTCATCCCCTGGAAGGCAAACCATGATGGCTGTGGACCCAGAAGCGAGTCTGGGTTAGAGACCCAGACCCACACTGCAGCCTGCAATGCCCAAGAACCACCTTGAATGTCCCACATGTGGTCCTGCTGCAGACAGACTCAAACCAGGTGTTGGTGCTTGCTTTTACTCAACCTCCCCCCCCAATTCTTTTTTTCCTTCCAGAACCGCATGAACATGACATATGAGAAGATGTCACGAGCGCTCAGACATTACTACAAACTCAACATCATCAAAAAGGAGCCAGGGCAGAAGCTGTTGTTCAGGTGAGATGAAGCAGATCAGAGAAACGAGCTGCCTGGCACAGTGCAGATGGGGCACGGGAGGGCGGTGAGCTCCAGATGTTGGCAGCTGCTTCATCCAGCAAGATCCTCCCCTGCAAATGCAACACCCCGGTGGGTTTGTGTCCAGGCTCCATCCTGTGCGAGCTGGGAGCTGGGCTGCCTGGGCTGCGGGTCCCATCCGATGCACGTTCCAGGGCTGTGGGCCAGCAACCTGCCCCGGGGCCAGCATCCTCTCCTGCATCGGGTCCAGCTGGTGCTGGAGGAAATGCCCCCGAGCCCACTCAAGCTGGACAGGTCCCTCCTGTTCCCCAGTGACACCAGGTCTGAAGTCCACCTCCAGACAGAGGAAGGGGTGGAAATAAGTCAGGAACCTCCTGTTTTCAGTGCTGGCTGCTTCCCTGGGACTAGTCTGGACTTAAAATGCCAGCTCTGGGCCGATGAGTGCTGAGCTTTGTCTTCCCAGGCTCAGTGCATCCTGGGAGCAAAGCAAGAACTGGGATCCTCAGCAAAGCCCAGGGATGGCAGATACCCTCCGGCGAGCTCCAGAGCTCAGCTTGATGAGGGCAAGGGCCTCCAGCATTTGCAGCCTGGTTTGGGGCTGGGTTTGGACATGCCCTTAAAGCCATTGAAAAATGTATTGCAGGTTTTTGAAGACTCCTGGAGAGATCATCCATGAGAAATCCAGCAAACTGGAGCAGCTGGAGAATGAGGACCATGAGGATTTGAAAGAAGACCCACTGGAGGTTTCACCGTAGGAAATCTTTGAAGGTGGCACTTGCAGTGCATTGCAGACAGGCTTGTGCTCAGGTGGGAAGTGCTGGCGTCTCTTGCATCTCCCGGACAGAAGGCCACAGAGCTGGTCCTGGATTTCAAAACCTGCCCTGAGCCAAAGCTGTGACATCTCTAAGGCTGCATTAGCAAAACACACCGAGAAACTGTCCCCCAGCCCCAAAAGCACAGGTGAACATGTGGGCTGGTCTTCTGCTCACTTCTCTTGTGTCCTCTGGGAGGGAATGTGATATTTCTGCTCTGTAAATTTTGATGCTTGTCTTTAAGGTTTAAACTTGCTGGTAAAGACTTACAGCGTTCTTAGAGCGAGATGTGCTGAGTGGAGAGCACCGGAGCACGTGCTCCTGGTCAAACATCTACCAAAGTGCTTTTGCAGAGAGCAGTGGCCCTAAGTGTGAACACGCTCTGAATCTGAGCCATGTTCCAGATTCGAGAATGGACTTACATTGCAGATGTGCTGTGCACTGTAATCTCACTGTCTCCTGTGGGGTTCCTCCTGTGATTAAGGGTGGAAGTGTGCTGAAATACCTGCCTGGATCAGGCCTTGCTGGAGCTCCAGGCTGCGCGGATGCCCTAAGCTGAGTCTCATTTTAACTCCTTTCCCTCCATGCAATGCTTTTTTTAATTAGGTGACTAAATAATGTGAAAAGAAACAAAGTCAGTAATGAATATGACCGCACTCATCGTCAGACACATGGTTATTTGCTGGAGTCCGAAGCAGGAATACCTGCAACCCCAGGCACTGTTAGTGACCTGGGAGGAACAATGTGTGTGTGCTTTTTAAGTCCGAAAATATCCACCAATATTTTCAGATTGCTTTTCATTGAGAAAATAAAATCCTGTGACTGTGTAAGGCTGAAAATCCCAATTCTTGCTAGTTGAAGGTCTGAAACTGAGAAATCCAAGCCTTCCTCATTTAAAACTAGCTTCTGTTGGCACCCGGATCTTGTCCCCATGCTCGGCAGCCCCTAAACAAGAGTGCAACAGTCCGATCTGCTCAGCAGCCGATGGGTGAACGCCGCGCAAACACATGGCGTTTTGTAGCTACGTGGACAAGCCCAGGTACAGGTCGTGAAGCAGCATCGTGTTTCATGGCTGATAGGAAAAGGTGAGTTCCTTCCAACCTTGGTTTTGTGCCACTGCAGAAATTATCCTGCTGCCTCGTATCTTTGCTCTGGACCCTTTCCCAAACCCGGGCTGCCATCTCAGAGCTGCATCAGTGCTGCTTTTGGGGCAGCAATGCTGTGAATGGGTCTGGGAACTGTCAGTCTTGTGAAGAACTTCGGCAAGGGTTGGTGGCGGAGGTTTCCACCAAAAGTGGTTGTTGCCAACCTGAAACTACAGTCCCTTTTGCTGTAACTGGCGTTGCTCCTCCAAAACTACTTTACACCCATTAACTGGAGCCTGGAGATGCTGGTGGGCTGTAGCCAGCAAGAGACGGTGGTGGGACACATGGTCGCTAGTTGGCAAAATGTCAACAATATGACGTCTCTGGAAATGCTGGCTGAGAAGTTTCACTTCCAGAAAAGATCACCAGCTTGTTGGCAAAGCACAAGTGCTCGAGAAGTCAAGCGATGGAGGAGAAGGAAATGAGAAGCTCTAGTGGGATAAATGAGCATAGCGTCACAGCCTTTGGGAGGTCCTAGCTAGGAAGGGAGGCTGAAATCTCTGCTAGGAGAGGGGGCTGGAGGTTACCCAGCACCCAGCCAAGCTGCAGCCTGGGGATGCACCATACCAGGAAGGTGCAGCGAAGCACCCAGACCTCATCCTTCCATAAAGGGTGCTTTTTGTCCTGGAGAAGACTAAAGCCAGATCTTTCTTGGGGTGAAATCCAGCAGAGAGTCGGTGTAAGTCCTGCCCAGCCCTGAGGGACAGCTTTGGTGGGAAAGCAGACCTCCTTCCTTGGCAACTGTCCCATCCTGGCTCTGCGTCGCTCTTGGGATACGCACCCATGGGTGCATTTTTCCTGACCTTCTCCTAACAAGACATCCCCCCTGCTTTCTTGCCGTGGAAACAGCCCTGATGACTCTTGAGCATCCCATCACTTCTCCAGCCTGGGTGGCTTGTTTTGTTGGAGCAGGTGACAGGCGGTGACTGTGGTGCTTGTGCCGTGCTCGCAGGGAGCGTGCAAGATGCCCTCTCTTCACTTGTTTTTCCTGCGATGACTAAGGATCCTGTTGGACTTGGACGGGGATTTTCTCTCCTGGTTGGGAAGCTGCCAAAAGCGCTCAACCTTCCTGGTGCCGTGCTGTGCTGCCGCAGCTCCGAAGGGATCTTGGAGGGTGAAAAATCAAACGTGCAAGGATGGGCTGCAATGACGAGCTCTTTCCATGTTCCCAGGAAGCCTTCGTGTCCTTCCCAGGGCGATGTGTCTCTTTTCCCTGTGGTAAACAGAGGCGGGAGGGCTGTAAACCTGCTGCTTTCCTGGAACGGGGACCCATCCCTTTCAGTAAACAGCTCAGTAACGGCCGCTTGCGCCGGGGCGTTTGGTGTGGGTGTGTGGGGAGGGAGAGCACACGGCAGTCAGTGACTTTTGCCATGGCTGAAGTCCAGGGGTGATGGCATGCAGAAGGGTGCCCCACATGGGCTTTCCCAAAGGTTTGCAGGTGCTTCGTTCCGTGGAGGTCGTCATCCTTGCTTCAGCAGCACCAGGTCTGGTGGTGTTTGGGGCAGGGTATATTGCACAGCAGCAAGTGCCCACGCGTGCCTGCTGCTGCCTCGCGCTGCTCGTCTGCTGAGGGAAGCAGCTAAAATCAGTCCCGGGGGCTGGAGGAAAAGAGGATTTGCTTTGAGGGCTGGTGCCCACCACCTTCTCGGATCAGAGACACCACACAAGTGGGCTGAGAGGTTTCCACTGAGGCCACACAGGTGCCATGTGTTGGCTGTGCCGTCTGTCCAAACCATGGCCGGTGCGGGGAGCAGTGGCTGCCCTCAACACCCCTGTCGTGGTTCAGATCTGAAACTGCAGATATTTTTGTGCCCGGGTGGCTGGTGTTGGCTCGAAGGGACCTTTGTGGTCCACTTAAAACACAACTGCCTCCAACAGCCAGTTGGATTGGCTGTGGCTTCGGCTAGCCAAATCATAGAATCATCATAGAATCATAGAATAGTTTGGGTTGGAAGGGTCCTCTAAAGGTCATCTAGTCCAACCCCCTGTGTGGGCAGGGACATCTTCAATGAGATCAGGTTGCTCAGAGCCCCGTCCAGCCTGACCTGGAATGTTTCCAGGGATGGGGCATCCACCACCTCTCTGGGTAACCTGTGCCAGTGTTTCATCACCACCCTCAGCGTAAAAAATGTCTTCCTTGTATCTAGTCTAAATCTATCCCCCTTTAGTTTAAAGCCATTAAAGCCAAACTTGGATAATTTAGTTTAAAGCCATTAAAATCTTGAAGACCTCCAAGGATGGCAATCCCCCACCCCTCTTTACACCCATTTGGGTTGTCCCAGCCTCCTGCAGAGGAGGCTTTTCCTGATGTCCAACCTCAGCCTCCCAAGCTGTGGCCTGTCTGTCTTCTTCCCAAGAAATCTGTGTGTGTTGATTCCTGCCTTCTCCTGAGCCCGTTGTAACGCTCCGCACCTCGCAGCTCCCTGCAAGGAATACCCCTCCCTTGTTTTTTTCCATCTTCTGGAGCAAGTTCCTATGAATAGGCCAATTACCCCCTGATGTGTCCCTGTGCTTTCAGTTCTGCTTTTCCCTCCGGTGTCGCTGGCCTGAAGATACCAGCCTCAGCACTGTGTGCTCCCTCCACGTGACCACGTTTCCAGCCAGCTTCCTCATTCTCTACTGGTATTGATGAGAAAAGCGGACAAATTGGGATGCAGATCTCTTCCCCCAACTCTGGCAATGGGCTTTTGGTTTGTCTCAGGTCTCCTGCAAATATCTTTTTCTTATGCCTCTCTCCCATTAGGTTTTAGCATGTCCCAAATCCCAGAAGGGACCTGAACTTGGATAAAGGTCTGGATCCAAAATCACAATTCAGGTCAAGATTTTTCCTGGAGCCACTTTGGGTACCCCATCTTCAGGCTGCATCCAGAAATGCTCCTGCAAAAGCCTGCAAGAGGCCATAAGTCAATGCTGATTCCCAGTTTAATCATGAGAAGCTCTCCATGAGCAGGGATGGTGTTTGGACCCACCCTTGGATGATCTCCAGTAGCAAGATCCCCAAACTGGAGATGGCCAAACTGTGCCCCATTGCCAGAGTGGATGTGTTTTTTCGTTATACGGACATTGCAGAGAAAAAACAAACAAAATTTATTGTGAAACTCCTCCTCACCCACTGGAATTGACCTGCTTATGAAAGGACGTGGTTATATGCTAGATAGCAGCACGGAGCTCCTGATGGATGGTTTAATTATTTATCAGAAGTAGATGGGGATGCTGAAAAACAAAGCCAGGTGATTCCTAATCAATACCAGACTGATTCATCGGTGTAGGCTCAGGAGAAACGGAGGGGAATGGACTGGCTCTCTCCCAGTTATAGGAAATTATGGCACAGAAAGTTTGTAGAAACAGAAAGAAAATAATCCTGGACTGGTTCAATTGCAAGCTGAACCCACTGCCAGGAAAAGACCATTTTTTATCTGGGAGGGACCTGGGCAGCACATCATCCCAGCTGAAAACTAGAGCAAATGCAGCACTGCTCAGGTGGAAATCTTGCCGAAGGGTTTTCCAAAGCCAGCGTGCCGGCAACCACCGCCCGGCAAATGCATCCTCATGCAGCACCGTCCCTGCAAGGTGCAGTGCGAAATATTGCCATCAGATGGCAAAATAGCAATGAGGATGGCAGGCAGCAGCCTGCGGGAGGGTGGGGTGGCTGTGGGGCCAAATGGATCTCTGGTGTAAGAAGAAAGGCTGAAGATTTGTTTGGCCAAGGGGCAGATTGCAGATGTTGGGACGTGCAGATCTGCGTTGTGTGGGTTCGGCCCTGGGCGATGTTCTGCCCCTGGGCAAGGCTGAGTGGGAGCCGTGTGGGTGCAAAGGATTCGGGTTGTGAAGCCGGTCCTGTTTCATGTTTTAGGGTGGGTGCACAGGTTGTCTGAAGGACCCCTGG